GTACTGGTTGGGAGATGCAGCACCACTGATGGTAGTGCTGGGTGTGACTTGCATGGGCTGTGCCCAAGATAGTCGTGCTGGAGCTGCATTCGTGCCTATTTCCTGCTGTACGGTGTCAATATTTGGGTCTTTAGTTCAGGCATGGAAATCCAGGAGGGGTGGAGCAGGGCATCTGGGGCATGGCAGGGCAGGGTGCTGCAGAAGGAGGGAATGTTCCCATACACTCTTGCCCCCACTGAGGCTGTCCCTGCCCTCCCCAGTGAGGAGGACGTTGAGTGGATCCAGCAGCTGGCAGAGCTCCACAAGCTGGAGGTGGTTCCCCTGGTGCAGACCTTCGGTCATGTGGAGGTAGGGGCCAGGAGTGCTTGAGGGGGGGCTGAGGGGTGGGATGGGGACCCCGAGTAGTGGAGACACCTCCAGGGTTGGGGCAGTCACAGCACAAAGTGGCCTGGGGCTGTGTCCCGAGTCCCTAGCACCTGTCTTGGGGATGGAGCTCTGGTTCTTGTCCTCCTCCCCCCCATGGTGGTTTTCCTCCCCACACAGTTCATCCTCAAACACACCAAGTACCAGCACCTGCGGGAGGTGGAGCGCTTCCCCAACAGCTTCAACCCCCATGTCCCGGACACCCTGGCATTGCTCAAGGTCATCCTATCACAGGTGATGGAGAAGCACAGGCGCTCCTCGTGGATCCACATTGGTGCAGATGAGGTGGGCGGGAGGTTATATGAGACCCAGACATTGCCTGGTGCCAGGCATGCTGAGCATCCCCAGCCCCACATGCAGGTCTTCCACCTTGGGGAGGGAAAGGACTCCAGGAATTGGATGAGCCGCAACAAGGGTGACACAGGAACCATATACCTGAACCACATCAAGGAGGTGCTGGACTTCATCTCCACACAGTACCGGGGACTGCGGGTGCTCATGTGGGATGACATGCTGAGGAAGATCAGTGTGGGAGCCCTGCAGGGTGAGGGGCTGGGAATGGAGATGGGGACAATGTCTTGTCATTGTGGTGGAGATGTGAGTGGTGCCCAGTGTTCATGTCACTGTTCCTGCCCTGCAGAGTCTGGGATAGCAAAGCATGTCTCACCTGTGGTGTGGTTCTATGCACCTGACTTTGACGCAGAGCAGATTGGTAAGGTGCCATGCCAGGACCCCAGGGATGCTCAACAAGAGGGGACAGTCCTGGGGCTGGTGATGCTGCCACTGTGATCTGTCCCCGTCCGACCTGTGCCTACCACCCTGTTCCCCACTGCTGCAGGGCAGTTCATCACCAAGTACCTGGAGAGCGGCTTTGAGGCCGTGTGGTTTGCCAGTGCCTTCAAGGGCACCACGGGCCCTACACAGAGCTGGCCCCCACTCAGCTCTCACCTGAAGAACCAGCTCAGCTGGCTGCGGGTGCGCGAGGCCATGCCGCGCTTCGCCCCGCTGCGCTTCCAGGGCATTGTCCTCACCGGATGGCAGAGGTGAGGGCCACAATACATGCATGCCATCCCCTACGTGACCCCATGTGAGGCCCTGGCACTGCGTTCCCATCCTGCAGGTATGACCACTACTCAGTGCTGTGTGAGCTGCTGCCTGTTGGCATTCCTTCCTTGGCGATATGCCTCCAGACCCTGGTGAACGGTGAGCTCCCTCTTCCCCGTCTTTCCACACTGCAGCATCCTTGGAGGCTTCACCCCTCTGTTTTGGCATGGCCATCTCCAGGGGGATTCACAGAAGAGACACGGAGAAAGGTGCTGGAGGTGTTGGGCTTCCACAGCATGCAGCTGGAGCAGAGCACATGGTGCGTGGCCAGGCAGGAAGAGTACATGGAGGGATGGGATGCTGGGTTCACCACCCGTCCTGGAATCTCCCTTCTTCATGCTTTCCCTGCAGTGAGGGAAGGGGAGCGTTCCCTGGGGCAGACATCTATCACATGGTGGAGCAGGTGAACAGACAGCTGAAGGAGAGCATCACCAAAATGCTGGAGGAGGAAAGGTAACACAGGGGAAGGCTCTGTTTATGAGCATCCCTGCAGCAGAGGGGGCCCATGGGGCCTGGTGTGGTCCTGTGCCCCCTTGCATTCCTATCCCCTTGTGTCTCTTCAGTGCCATCAAGGGCTGGTTCAGCCCCTACCACCGCAAGCACCAGTTTGGCAACCCTCGCAACATGGAGAGCTTTGGCAGCAAGATGCTCAAGTATGTGTGGAGGCTTGGAATACCCCCAGCCCTGCAGGGGGCTGGGAGAGGGTCCTGGTCTGTCTCTGTGGCGTGTTCCCACTCTGCTCTCCCCACCCCAGGCTCCATGAAGAGTGGGAAAGCTTTGTCCGGGACCTGCATGCCCGCCTGGAGAGTATCTACTTCCCTGACACAGTGGAGGAGTGGATGGAGGAGAATGTCAACCCCTACCTGGACCCTCTGCGGGACCTAGTCCGGGATTACCGTGCCATCATCCGCCTCAACGCCCAGCCCAAGGCACCTTAGGGGTTGTGTTTCCCCATGGACTGGGCAGTGGGGGCCATGGGAATGGTCTGTTTGCTGGCCTGCACCCTTCTTCTGTTCAAGGCATGACTGTGGTTTGTTTTGTACTGCACAGAGAGCCCTGGCGTGCCCCACTTCCCAATAAAGTATTTTCGTAGATGCTGCTGAGTGATGGGGGGCTGCAGCTGTGCTCCCTCCCTGCCTGCATAGAGGAAATGGGGCTGGGAGGAACAGATCATCCCTGTCTCATCCTGTGGGGACCCCTGCTCCTCATGGAGGTCTCAGCTGCTTGGGGCTGGGACTGAAGCTGGTGAGTTTGGTTGAAACATCTACTACAGGCAGAGAGGGGGCAGCCACTGTCCCACAGTGTAGCTGGGCTCCTGGGGCTGGCCATCTCCCTGCAGTACATCACCCAGCACAGTGAAAGTGATGCTGGGGGCAGAGGCAGCAAGGTGAGGGCTGCTCTGGGCTTTTCCATGCCTCAGTGTGCCTCGGTATGAAGGCCTGGCAGAGTCCCCCAGCACCTGCTCCACATCTCCATGGCTGCTTTCAGAAGCAGCAGCCGCCACTGACTCCCTGATGGCTGGGAGGGAAGAGAGCAGCACTCGCTTCCTGCACCGAGCTCTTCCCAAAGCCTTTCATCTCTCCCTTCCTCCCTCTCAGCCAGTGCCTGGAGCCTCCTGTGCTGGCAATGCTCACTGTGATGTGCCACCCTCCTGCAGCAGTGCTGCATCTAGGGGCTCTGTGTAGTGGGGGGGTGGGTCCCGTGTACCCCCAAATCCACAGCTCTCTGAGTGCAGGGCACTGATTGCAGCTCTGTGTGCACGGAGCAGGGATGCAGATGGTTCACTGCATGAAATTCTATTCTGCAAGGACCAAACGGGCTTGGCAAGAGCCTGGAGGGAGCTGCAGGGTTACAAAGTTGTCCGAGGCTGCTGCTGCAGTGTGGCTCAGAGGGGCAGGAGGGGTGCACAGCTTTGCTGCTTGGTTCTAGCTGCAGGGATCCTGGTGTCTTGGAGGCTGTGGATGGGAGAGCTTCACTGCAGAGGGCTGTGGGTACAAAGAGGTCTTTGTGGAGAAGACACGGTTATGTCCTTGCATGGTGGCAGCTCCCAGCCCAGGAACCCCGCAGCAGTTCAGGTCCCCACACAGCCATGCAGTGCCAGCCTGTTGGATTAGAGGACAGATTAGGCAGCGTTTTGTGCTGGAAACCTAAATGTCCTGGATTGGAAAGTGGGGGTGGGGAAAAGAGAAGCACCCTGGTGGGGGGTCATCCAGAGCAGGGGGGCTGCAGGGAGAGCCAGGGGCTGCAGAAGGTGTCCTTAGGCTGCAACCTGAGGGTATGGACGGGCCTGGGGTGGGCAGGGGCATGGCAGTGGCAGGGGAGCTGTGTTTATATTTGGATGCTGCTTTGCTCTCCACATCCTTTCTTCTGCTCCATGCACCTCTCCATGTCCTGCAGCTGCCTGTCCCCATATGTTGCTCTCTGGGATATCCTGCAGCTGCTCACCCCTGCTGTCCTGCAGTGACCTGTGCATGTCAGTGGGGTGCCAGCCTTTTGGGGTCTGCAGATTGGTTATCCCTTCTGTCAGTGTGCTTCCAGAGAATGTTTATAAATAAGGTGATAGGTGCTTTATATATATAAACATAAATATTTATGTATGTATAAATAAGTTTGTATATGGGTTATTTTGCCAGAGCTGGGCCCTTAGTGAGGCTTTTAGGCAGTAACTCACCCAAGAGAGAGAAATTTGAGTGTGATTCTGTGCTGTGTTCAGCTCTGACCGGACACCACTGGCACATTGATGGGGCCATCCATCATCACCCCGTTTCCGAGCCTGTTTGCAGCATCTTCATATAGCCAGGTATCACCTCCCGTGTCCCGATCATTTAGGCCACAAAAAAATTGCACGGAGACATATGTCACCAGCTACTGCGTCCACGGCAGTGGAAAATTAGGCAGCAATCAGAGCTTTATTTAACGAAACGGGAAAGCTGCTCAGCCCGGTTCCGCTATCAGCCACCCGGGGGCCGGCGGCGGTGACTGCAGAGGTCGGGCAGAGCCGGGACAGGCCCTAGGCGGGTGGGGGGCTGTCGCCGGGCAGAGCGGCGGGTTCGCCCCGCTCCGGGGGCACTGATTGCTGCCACCTCCCCCGGACTCGGCACCTTCCCCAGCTCCGGGGAGGGGATCCCCGCGCCCCGCCCGCAGGCACCGGGGTGGCCCCCCCGCGCCTTCCTCCTCCCCCTCCTGCTCCTTCTCCCCCTCCTCCTCCTCCTCCTCCTTTTCCTCCCCCCGTGCAGCCAGACCCCTCCCCGCGCGCTCGGGGCGGCCCCGCTCCTCCTTGCGGCCCCTCCCGGGGCTCCCCCCTCTCCTCTCGCATCGCCCCCGGGGTCGCCCCGGTGCGACTCCCGGTGCCCCCCGCCCCACCGCGCCCCGCCCCGCCCCGGGCGCCCGCCGCCCCCGCCTCCGGAGCGGACTGGGAGGGGGGGCCCGCGCCGCGTCGCGCCGTGCGGAGCCGAGCCGAGCCGAGCCGAGCCGAGCCGCCCCTCGCCGCGCCGCGGAGGATGCTCGGGCCGTGAGCCCGCAGCCGGCAGCTCCGGCGCCGCGGAGCCATGGGCAAGGACCAGGAGCTGGTGCAGGCGGTGAAGGCGGAGGACATCGCGGCCGTGCAGAAGCTGCTGCAGAGGCCCAAACCCGGCAAAGCCAGTGAGTGCCGCGACGCGGGGCCGGGCCGGGCCGGGCGGGGGCGACGGCACCACGGGCATCCCCCCTCCTCCCCGGGCATTGGCACCCACCCGCTGCTCCGGGGGCCCGGCCGAGTCGCACCGTGCCCATCGCCGGCACCGCGGCACCGCGGGCGGGGGCCAGGGGGTATTCCCGGCGGCGCCCCGGGGGCACGGCCCAGCCCGGAGGTGGGGGGATATGGGGGGCTGCAGGCGGCGGAGTATCCCCGGGCGCTGCGCGGGGCTGCGAGGAGCCGTGTGCACTCTGGTCCCGGTGCGGTCCCGGTACGGCCCCTTAGCAGCTCCGATACGCCCGGGGCAGGCAGGCAGGCAGCGGCCGGGCTGCCCTTGTCCTGTGCTCGGAAGCAGCCCGCGGGGGGATCGGGAGGGACGAGGGGCTGCGGCCCCAGTGTACGGCTGGGGGCGTCTGAGCATCTGTGTGTGTGCAGTGTGTGTCTGCATAGACCATGCATGTGTGTGCATGGACAGTGTGTGTGTGTGTATGCACCAGGACTGCCGGTGCTTGCACACAGCTGCGTGTGCCTACGTGTGTGCAGCTGTGCTCGTGTACGTGCGTGTTCGGGTGTGCATGTGTGCCCGTGTTTGGGTGCATGTCTGTGTTTGCGTGCCGGTGTGTGCCCTGGCATATGTGTGTTGGGATGCGTCTGTGTTGGTGTTTCTCTGTGTGGGGGTGTTTGGATGCATCTCCACGGGTTTCTCCCTGCGTGCAGCTCTGCATCGGGGCTTTGCACACCTCGGTGCGTGCACACCGATCTGTGTGTCTGTGCACGGGGCTGCGGGGGTGTAGCCGTGTCTTGCTGCGTACGTGTGTGCAGCTCCCGGAGTCTCTGCTCGGTGTGCATGGCTCTGTTGAGGCGTTTCACTTGGGACTGAATTATTCATGGTGCTGATGCAGCCGCAGGTTTCTGGCCTGGTGTGCGGGGCCAGGGGCTGTCCCTGAGTACGGGACCACAGCACACAGCCCCACTGCCACTGCGCTCTGCATCCTTCCCTCCCAGTGTGCCCTAAATGTGGGCACCCCATGGTCCCAGTGCCATGTAGGTTCGTGTGCTTTCCCTTTTGTATACTGGGGTTTCTAGTTGAGCAGGGCATTGTGCTCTCTATGCCCTGGTGCTGAGCAGGGCTGGCCCTCATGTCCCCTCGGTGCCGTGCAGGGTAGTGGTTGTGATCCTGTGTCCTGAGCTGTTGGCATGGTGTTCCTTATGTCCAGATGCCACATAGGACAATTGTGGTGTCTCGCATGTCCCCGGTGTTGCCCAGGTGCTGTCAATGCTGAGGGCCTGTGTGGGGAGAGAACAAGCTCCAGCTGTGAGCTTCATTCATCCCAACCCACTTCAGGTGCTGCTGATTCCATGGCCTCAGAGTGGTGTGTGATGATGGGACTGTGTGTGGCCCATGGCACTGTCCCCACACTCCCCTCTCAAACCCCACGGCCTGGGTGCCCAGCTGGCGTTGCTGTGGCAACAGGCAGTGGTGCCAGAGTGTTACCACCTCCTCCTGCATCGCATTCATCTCTCCACAGCCCTGCTGCATCTTCCACTGCAGAGCCCATGGGCTGGGGTGGCTGTGGGGACTGGCAGCGCTCTGTGTGCTGGGCTTACAGGAAGGGGACAAGGGACATCCCATGAGGTCAAACCCCCTCCTGTCCCATGCTTAGCTGAGCTGCATGCCTCCAGCTGTGCCAGAGCCTCTTGTGCTGTGACTCCTGCTCCTCATAGAACCCAACCTGTAGTGCCGTGCTCCTGGTGTGGGGACACGCGAGCAGCTCTGCAGCAGGGCTGGGGGATGCAGAGCACCACCGGGGTGTCCCATATCACCATCCCCTCTATGTGCAGCTTCCTTGCTCACCTTGGGCACTCCCTGCACTCTTCGGCACCAGGAAGATTTGTAACTCTAGCTCTGTTATCTGGATAATATCCTATTCATGTGGGGGTTTAATAAATGAGATTTTAAAAATCCCTGCGTGAATTAACACGGGTTACCATGGTGACGTGGGGCCCAATTTAGCAGAGTGGAGTAAGAGTTTGTGGGGCCCATGCCGGCCGCAGCGCGCACCGCGCTCGCTTCCCGGGCATCCATAATTGATGAGGTTGTCTGAAAGTTACGCAAATCAGATGCAGGGATTTGGCAGCAAACTGTTTCCCTCCCTGTCCCCTCCTCCCTGGTGCTACCTCGAAGAATTGTCATGACTTGGCGTTTTCGCCTCTGTCCGCAGCTTGGACACTGTGGGGTGGGATGGGGGGCCTGAGGTGTCCCCAGCTGGGTCTGTCCTGGGGCGCTGGGCACCAGGAGATGGTTTTTGTTGTGCTGCTGCAGGAGACCCTCAGCATTGGTATTTTGGACAGGTGGGCTCTGTCTTTGAGATACTGCTGCCACAGTTGGCTCACCCGCTTTGGAAATGGCTTCTGTAGGGCCCCTGCCTTGACCTGCGGGATGGACCCCTCTGCCCCAGTTTCTCCCACCTGCTGGGCTGGGGGTTCTGTGAATCACTTCTACATGCAGCAGGTTGTGTGGCACAGATGTCCTGGCTCATGTCCCCATGTGCTCTGGGTCCCTTTCTCCACGACACCTGGAGCCAGGCTCAGGAGACAGACAAGAGGCTCAGCACCTCACACAACTCTCTGCCACGGGGCCCAGCCCAGCCTAACTCCACTGCCATGGGGCACAAGCATCTCTCAGGATGCCTCTGCCCTGGACAGCAGCATGACTGTGTTGCTACCTGCACTCCGCACCGTGTCCTGTGTGGCACTGGTGGGACCATGAGTGAAGCAGCTGGTGTAGGAGCTGGGCAGCTCTGTGCAGGTTGATGCATGGGGCAGTAAGCAGCATGGGTGGACGTTGGGACCAGGAGGCAACTGCAGCTCAGCAAACACTCTGAGGCTGCCCCACATTGGGCACTGCCTTCCCGGGGCACTGGGCACCTCCAGGCATAACACAGCTTCACCTGCTGCTTCACCATGTGAAGGGGTCAGCAGGTGAAAGCCGGAGGCAGGAGGCAGGAACTGGACCCTTTGGGGCACGTGGGGTCCCCACAGAGCCGTGTCATGCCCAAGGCCCAGGACACAGCATCCTGTCCTCTGATGTATCCTGAGAGGTGGCCAGTTAATTCTGCTTCTTTTTTTTTTTTTTTTTTTGCCTGCATTTGATTGCATTAATAATCTCCTCTGATAACAGTATTTAATAAAACCAGGCTAATATGGCGCAGTTAGGAAATGTCTTTGACATTTTACAATTCAATTTCCATGCAGTAAAAGGCAGGGCAGCTGCAAATCCAATTCTGGTGCAGTGCACAGGGCGCGCGTGGCCGGCAACTGCCAGAACAGCCCTGTTCCCCCTCATCCATCCTGTAACACAGGAAACTTCCCCATCCATGGCTGCTGCGTGCGGCTCCTGCTGTTGCATATCCCCTGAGTGCTGCAGGGATAGCCACGTGGGATGCTGCCCTCTGTATGTGTTACGGGCCATGGGGAGATGCCCACCCCCAGCACAGGGGATGAAGTTGGCTCCCACTGCTGCAATGCTTAACAAGGTGTCAGTGCTTCCCTTATAAACTTCTTTTCAGGGTTTATAACTGCGTGTGAAGCCTTGCTCTGAGCGGGGACTTGGCAGCCGGGAGCACGCCGGCGTGCGCCAAGTTTCCTTCCAGAGGGGGATTATTACTCAGCTCGGGGTGACATGTATTTATTTTACATTTTCTTGCATCTCTCTCTGGCCGGGCCAAAGCTGCCGGCACAAACCCTCCCTTCCCGCTCCCGTTCTGGGGCCGACTGCAGGGTCTGGGCAGCAGGGAATACAGACTCCCAGTCCCGGGCTCCCGTGCTGGCCTGGATTTCCTCATGTCACACCGGGTGAATTCAGGGCTGCACCAATTAGTCCTTTGCTGCAGGCAGGCAGCCTCTTGTGTTGGGGCTCTCAGGGTGCTTCCCTTGCGGGGACCTCGTACTGTGCCACCGTGCTCCCCACAGCACAATGCTCAGTGGTGGGGGAAAACTCTGGGCATGGCCCGGACCAGGCTGGGCACCAGTGGCTTGGCGTCCTGGCAATGCCACCAAGAGCTCAGGGTCCTGGCAGTACCACAAAGTTCTCGGGGTTGCAGCAGTGCCATGGGACCGGGTGCTGCATGCAGCCCCATCTCCCCCTTCACAGCCGCCGTGTGGTTTCCCGTAGCCAGCCTGGCGTCTGGCTCTCTCCTGCTCCGGCTGCTCTGCCTTTAACCCTTCCCTTCCCCTTGCAGGCACTGGGAAAGGCCATGATTGCATCTATGGATCAGTGAGCCCGAGTGTCACCAGATCTCTCTATTCCCCTGTGCCTGCAGGGTCCCACTTTGTGACCCAGCAAAGGCGATGCCCATGAATGTGGCTGTGCTCAGCATGTGGCAGGCAGGAGCTGTGGGGTGCATCATGTAGGATGGTGATGCTTGAGGCTGTGTGTGTGTTAGCTTCCACATTGCTCCTGTTGCTGCCAGCATGCTCTATTAGTGCACTTTGTGTCTCAGGGACTGCTGCCCCTCCTGCTGAACACTCACCATAAACCTGCTCTGCATCCTCTTTGCAATGCAGGTCAGCTAAGGGTGCCTTTCACAAGTCTTCAAAGCACTGTAGGGAGTGCGTTAAAGAATGGATTTGCTGATGTTTAATGGCCGGTCTGCATTACTGCTGGACCAGGCTCCTGCAGGCAAGGAAAGGAGGCTGAGATTCAAAACCTGCTTGTGCTCTGTTCGGATGCTGCTGCTCTGTTGCTCTATCCCTGCTTTGTCCCATTGCTCCAGAGGGGTGCTCTGTGCTGGGCCAGTTACCAAGCTTGTGTGCTGCACCAACAGCCACCTCTGCCTGATCACTGTCCCATCCTGCAGCAAGGACATGTGCAGGACAGCACAGCGTGCCCGGGCAAGGAGCAGCGCTGCCAACAGGTCAGCTCTCATGCCAGGCTGAGAGGGATCTTTAAGCTGTAATGAAATGTTAA